GAGAAAAGATTGAAGTTGTAAAGGGTTTCATTCTACTTGGATCCACAATCAACAGCCATGGAAGCAGCAGTCAAGAGATCAAAAGACGCATCGCATTGGGCAAATCTGCTGCAAAAGACCTCTTTAAAGTGTTGAAAATCAAACACGTCACGTTGAAGACTAAGGTACACCTGACCCAAGCCATGGTGTTTTCAATCACCTCATATGCATGTGAAAGCTGGACAATGAATGAGGAAGACTGAAGAAGAATTCACACCTCTGAATTGTGGTGTTGCTGAAGAGTATTGAATATACCATGGGACTGCCAAAAGAATGAACAAATCTGTCTTGGAAGAAGTACAACCAGAATGTTCCTTAGAAGCAAGGATGACGAGACTTAGTCTCATGTACTCTGGATATGTTATCAGGAGGGACCAGTCCCTGGAGAAGGACATCATGCTTGGTAAAGTAGAGGGTCAGGAAACACAGGAAGACTTTCAATGAGATGGACGGACACAGTGGCTGCAACAATGGGCTCAAGGATAACAACGATAGTGAGGATGGTGCAGGATTGGGCAGTGTTTCGTTCTGTTGTACACGGGGTCACTATGAGTCAGAACCGACTGGATGGCACCTAACAGCAACAACTGCCCTCGGCCAGGATGGCCACAGGTCCTGGCACGCAGAGCCTCCCCACCACTCTCAGCAGACGGGAGCTCCTGAAGGCAGGGCCTCCCAGGCTCATCCTTCTCTGTGTCCCCTGGCCCAACTCCGATGCACACGGTGCTTCATAGGTGTGCTAGTGACCACATGGGCAACTGCCCAAGGGGGCATTTGGGATGCGGCAGGTAGGACGTTTTGGACGGCCTGCCCACTGGGCTACCCTCGGCAGACGCCCAGGGGCAGCTAAGGTGTCTCTGTGTCCTGGGGGAGCCCCTCCCCATGGGGTACCGATCAAGGAGACCTTCTGGTGGGGAGATGAGTGCGTGTTCCCCTCTCTCTGCACGTCCCGGAGGCAGGGAACGAGCTGGCCTTGAGGGTCCCGAAACAGCCCGGCACCTGGCACAGGGCCCTCGGTCAGTGACCGATGAGCACAGGCCCGAGATGTGGGCCACTGTGTGTCTGATGGCCGGCAGCACAGTGGCCTGGCCAGGGTCCAGCACCACCTCCACCCCAGGGAGGGTCACAGGACGTCAGAGCTGCCAACTCCGCTGCATTTGTCGGGGGTCGCGGCTCACCGCAGCTGACAGAGCTGGCAGGTCATTTCTGAGCTCACACGTGATGGGCTGCAGGGACAAGGGGACACCAGGCCCTGCAGGAGAATTACCTCCAGGGTGGCCAAGACCACAAGGCAAGTCGCCTCCCCTGCCCTGCCTGTGCCCGGCCCCCTCCCTCCGCCCCACATGACCACTCCTTTTCATCTTTCAGGTCTGAGTTCAAATCTCATCGTCTCTGGAGGCCTCCCTGACCATCCATCTGAAGTCAGGGGTCCCTCACCACTCTCCTTCGACTGCCACCAGTCTCCCTGTGTGCACTGGTCGCCACTAGCCATTTCTACACTGTTGTCCTGGGTGCGGGCTGGTTTCTGCTCTGGACCGCTCCTATTTCCCTGGCTACACCCTCGTGCCAGCACCCAGGGGAGCCTCCACCAGGGCTGACTGGCCAGGCGAAGGTCAGCAGGGCCTGTCCGTGCAAGTCCTGGGCACCCCTTGCTGCCTCACATCAGCTCTTAGCTGACCCATCTGCCATATCCTGACACCTCTGTGATGGCTGAGGTTTGTGTCCACTTGGCTAGGCCACGATTCTCAGTATTACATAATTATCCTCCATTTTGTGATCTGACATAAGGGGAATCTCCTTGGGGATGTAGCCTGCCTTCAGTATATATGGATGTCCTGGCAAAGCTCTCTCTCTCTTGATCATGCATCTGACTGGTCATCATCTGACCTCTGGTTCTTGGGACATGAACCAGCAGCTTGTCATCTGACCTGCAGATTTTGGGTTCGTCAGCCCCTGCAACCATGTGAGTCAGGAGAAGCCTCCAGCCTGACGCCTGACCCATGGATTTGGGACTTGTCAGCCTCTACAACTGTCTGAGCCATTTCCTTGATATAAATCTCTCTCTGTATACATATATATATATATATATATTCACATTTCATTGGTTTTGCTCCTCTCAAGAATCCCCCCAAGCCCCCACTGCCCCTGCCCGCAGCCTGGCCTGGGCAGCTTTCCAGGGCTGAGCAAGGGCTGCAGGCACAGCCGAGAATCCCCTTGAAGACTGCCCAGAGCGTGAGGTGCACCCAAGAGATAATCGGCGAGGCTACCCACCTTGGTTTTGTCCTCAGTCCTGGCCTCTTGCCGGCATGCAGGGTGCCAGATGGAAGAACCTACGGCAGACCCGAGAGGGAGGTGGTTAGTGTGCTCATGTGACACACGGGCCGCGGGCAGGCGGTGTGGGAACAGGGGTGTCCCACGGCCATCCGTACATCACAGTCCTGGCGCGGTGGCTCACAGCCCAGGGGAGGGGCATAGGTCACCAGACAGATACACCCCCCGGGGTGGGGCTGGGGCTAAGTGCTCAGTTATGTTGTTGCTAGCTACCACGGACTCGGCCCTCAGCTCATGGTGACCCCGTGCACAATGGAACAAAATGCCCCCCATGCCATCCCCATGATCAGCTGTGGATCAGACCATTGTGATCCACAGGCATATTTTGGGGGGACACAATTCAATCCATAACAGGTGCCTCAGAAGAAAGCCCTGGAGATCTACTTCCCAAAAATCAGCCATTGAAGACCCCATGGAGCACAGTTCTACTCTGACGCACATGGGGTCGCCTTGAGTTGGAGTTCACTTGGACACACCCGGCGTCGGGGGTACAGAAAGGGGAGATTTCTTTCTGTCTTTGCAAACTCTTCAGAGGATTGCATCACGCTCCTGTTTAATGCTTTTTCAGTAATGAAACTTTTCTTTCTCTTCTACTTTCGTGGGGAAGTTTTCTGGGTTGGGAGTAGATTTTGTTTTTAATTATATTTCCCCAGCACCTGCCCTATTATTTGAAAGAGTCTACAGCCACAGACCTGACAAAGAAGGGCGATCCTCCGTGGTGATGAGGGCAGGGACATGGGCCTCGTGTTTGCTGGGTGGGGATGAAAACGGGGAAACTGGCAGAAAGCCTCAGAGCCCTAACAATGCGCATAGCCTTTGAGCCGAGACTCCATCCCTCGGAGACGCTCAAGGGAGCAGAGACAGACAGGTGTGGTCCCCACAGCGTCATGTGGAAGGACAAAACCAGGAACCCCGGCTTCTCAGAGCCGTTGCTGCAGCGGGGCCACTGGTCAGAGACACCTCTGTGGAGCCCCAACACCCAGCGGGGGCAAGCAGAGGATCTCGGGTTACCAGCAAGGTGGGGCCTGTGCACCCCTCCTCACCTGTGCACCCTGGACGCCCCTCGCCACAGCACTCTGGCGCCCCTAGAAAGGAGCTTGAAAGCCCTGGCCCTGTGCACCTTCCCGGTACAGATGGGAAGTCCAGGGCTCAGGGAAGGGACGGACGTGCTCAAATGCCCCACGGAGTCCTGGCAGACCCGCCTAGAAACTGGGGCCGCCTCAGCCCAGTGCCCTGAAGAGCGGCTTTGTCCCCGAGCTGGGGCACCCTGACGGTTCCAGGGTGAGGCTTCTGCCCCCGATCGGCCACAGGAGGCCTCGTGCTCTGTGGAGTGAGAGGGGCTCTGTGTCTGTTGTGGGGTGGGGGATGCCCCGGACAGGGGGACATCTCCCCCCAGGACTGCCCTGCACCTGCTGGGGACGGCCCCAAAGGATCCTTTCATGGGATTGTAGAGGGGACCCGAGAGAGCAGGGGCCACTGGGGACAGGGCCACTGGCCTGACATCACTGCCCCGGCTCAGCCTCAGAAAGGAAGGCCTGTTTGCAGGACGATCCACGGCCTCTGAGTCACCCAACGTGGGGGACAGCAGGCCGGGGGAAGCACAGCCCTCCCCCACGGCCCCTCAGCCAGCCTCAAGGCCAGAGACACAGAGGTGGGGAGAGACACAGAGGTGGGGAGAGACAGTGGCAGAGCTGAGGCCCTGGGGGGAGGGTCCAGCAGTGTCAGCTTCTCTCCCCACGCCTGGCTCCTCCTTGGTCCCATCCTGGGGGTCCAGGCCACCTTGCCCACTCCCTGCCAGCTCCCTCCCTGGGCCAGGCACAGCCCTGCTTCTCCTCCCCACAGCCTCCTCCCTCCATGCAGGGCTTGCTCCCCAGGTGAGCTTTGATGCCCCCTCTTGTCCCGCCCAGCTCGCCTCCTCCGTGCCCCCGACAAGGCCCCTCTGCACCTCGCCTGCACCCCACCCAGCTGTTCACATTCATCCTGCAGCCGCAGAGTGCCCTCTTCCGCAAGGAGCCTCCTGCCTCCAGGCCTCCCCTCACCTAGTGGAGCCCTGCCCATCCTCCACAGGGGCACCTCCTCCAGGAAGTCCTCCTGGCCTCGGCAGGTGGCTGTGTGCTGGGGTACAGTCACTGATTTACACCCAACACTCACCGAGGCCGTATCTCCTACAGGGCTTGAGAATGAACCACGGGCAGGCATGGAGTCACCAAAATGGCAAGAGTAAGTGTGACCATCTGGATCCAAAGGACAGCCATCTTTCTCCCCCTCCCCACTGAGATGGAGTCCCCGGGTGGCACAAATGGTGAACGCACTCAACCACTAGCCGAAAGGTTGGAGGTTCAAACCCACCCAGAGGCACCCCAGAAGAAAGGCCTGGTGATCTGCTTCTATAAGGTCACAGCCTTGAAAACCCTGTGGAGCAGCTGGACTGTGACACACGGCTTTGGAGCTTCCCACCAAGCGCCACAGACTGCTGTAGGCTCTGCTTTATCAGCGCGCTGTGGATGCTTCCCTGGATTCGGAAGAAAGCCTCACTGGGGGCGGGGGACTTCAACCCCCCTTCAGCCCCCTCCACAATCTCCTCTGAGGGGAGGGGGCCCCGTCCCCAGCCACAGCAGTCCAGGGGCACAGGGCCAGGAAACAGCTGGCCCCTCACTCCAGAGCCGAGCTGGGCAGCTTCCAGGGACGAGTCTGGGGTGATGGTGGGTCTAGCAGACCGCGTTTGCTTTTTTAGGTTTTGCTTGCTGTTGTTAGCAGCCAGGGAGTCACCCCGTGTCCCGGCGACCCCATGCACGACAAAACAGAACACTGCCTGTCCCACGCCATACCTGTGATGGGTGGCGGATTGGACTGTTGGGATGTGTAGGGTTTTTATTGGTTGACTTTTAGAAATAGATTGCCAGGCCTTTCTTCCTAGTCTATCTTAGTCTGGAAGCTCTGCCAAAACCTGTCCAGCATCACAGCAACACGCGAGCCTCCAGGGACAGACGGGTGGTGGCTGGGCATGAGGAGCATTGGCTGGGAATCGAACCGGGGTCTCCCTCATGGAAGGTGAGAATTCTACCAGTGAACCACACTGCTTCATCTAAGCTTTGCTACTGGGACCAAATACCCAATTCTCCTGGCTCCCCATCCTCAGTTCAGCCCTCTGGGATCTCGTTCATCTCCGCCTTGCCGGTGTCAAGACGGACTAACGTCTCTCGAGCTGGCCTGCAGGGTGAGTCTCTCGTTTTCTGCCCAGCCCTGGAGGTGTGCCCCATTGGGGAGGGCCGGGCCACTCTGCCAGCTCCTGGTACCTTCTGAACCCGCAAGGTGACCCAGCGCCCCCTGCTCATGCCCACCACGTGGCTGGAACCCGACAAGCACTAGCTTCTGGCCTGGGGTCTGAGCGGCATGTGGTCCTCTTACCTTGAAGATACATCTCTTCACCCTCCGCAAACATCTGGCCACACTTGACACACAGCGCACAGGCAGGGTGGTAGTGCTTCTCCCCCGCCTGCGAGAGAGAGCAGACAGGTGTCTACTAAACGTATCCCGTCCACGCAAACCCCTGGTGGCACAGTGGCTAAGGCTCAGCTGCTAACCAAAGGTCAGCAGTTCAAATTCACCAGCTGCTCCCTGGAAACCCTATGGGGCACTTCTCCTCTGTCCTATAGGGTCACTATGAGTCAGAATGGACTCGACAGCAAGAGGCTCACAGAACCAGCAGCCTTTGCGGGGCGCTGCGCTCTCACCTGCAGGAGGAATTAGGGGAAGTGGAAGATGGCCTGCAGGAAAGGGCTGGCAACACTGGGCTCAGAGTGGACCATCGACCCCACCCTGCACAGAGCCCCATGTGGTGGGTCCTCACGGCCATCCAGGGGGCTGTGCCTGAAACCCGGGGTGCTGCCCCCGCCACCCGGAGGAGCTACCCCCAGGAGTAGAGACCCGCTGCACTGCCCAACCCCCACCAGGCATGATCACAGCAGAGCCAGGGGCTAGTCAGCTAGGGCACCCAGCGAGGGGCAGGTCCCTTCCACCTGTCTCCACAGGTAAGGGGAGGGGCAGGAGGGGGGGAGGAGGAGGAGAGAGGAGAGGAGGGAGATGGGGAGGGGGAGAGAAGGAGGCGGGGAGAGGAAAGAAGGAAGGAGAAGGGAGGGGCCGGGGAGGAGGAGAAAGACGGTGGTCCTGTCTAGCTTCGCCCAGATGCAGACTCTGCACGAGGACCCCAGTGCAAAGAGCTTATTTGGGGGCAGTTCCAGGAACTCCTCCAGGGGAGTGAGGAGGTGAGGTGGGGCGACCAAGCAGCTCTCATGGTGGGCACTGGAGGTGGCCGCTAGGAAGGGGGCTCCAGCAGCAAGAGAGGGGCGTCGGGCAAAGGCAGGCGGAAGGGACGAGAGGGCAGGAGGCGGCTGGATGTTTTACTCAGCTCCTTTACGGGGAACGTGTCCTGACCTGAACTGTCACTAACAGTGGGGGTACAAACCAAAACACCAAACCCATTGCCAAAAAGTGGAAGTGGATGCCCGCATTTCACTTTCTCCCAAAACAAGAAGCTTACTAGTCACCTCCTCTGTCCAAACTTGCATCTATCAAAACCCACTGCTGTCAAGTCCATTCCGACTCCTAGCGACCTGCAGGACAGAGCAGAACTGCCCCAGAAGGTTTCCCAGGCTGTCATCTTTAAGAAAGCAGACTGGCATAGCTTTCTCCCGAGGAGCGGCTGGTGGGTTCAAACCACCGACCATTCGGTTGGCAGCCAAGCACTTTAACCACTGCGCCACGGGGCGCCTTTGCATCACTCACTGTCCTGAATACGTAAGGAATGTCAATACCGGGGTAAATTCCCATTGCGAGCACCTCCCTTTCCTTTCCTTCCCTGAGATGACCATCAGCCCAAGGTCGCCACGCCCAGCAGGAGGAAGAGTCCAGAACAAGCTCCTGTCTGCGAGACCTCCAGGCAAATCCACACCACACACTGCGTCCTCGGGAAGGCGGACACTGAGCCCCAGCCCCGCATCCGGCCTCTGTACCCTGTTCCCCCTCCTGGAGGGCCCGCATCTCAGCTGTACATCCTTCAGCTCATCCTGACGCCACCTCCTCCAGGAAGCCCTCCCTGATGCTCCCCCAGCCTGAGCTCTGGAAGCCGCACGGTCACACAAAGGCTGCTCATTACTCTGCCCAGTGGACAGTGAGCCCCTCGAGGCAGGGGCATCCCGGGGGCTGGCCACCTCAGGAAGCGCACGATGCAGTGGTCTGCTTGGAAGCAGGCCACACCACAGCGCCCTCCCCAAGGAAGGAGTGTGAAACCCTCATTTCATGACTTCTTTTTGAGACATAAATTAGAGGTGGGAGCAGCTCTGTGTCTTTGTGAGTAAAAATCACCGGGTAACAGCGTCACAGCGGTCCCAAGGGCCTCGTTGCATTTTTAACAGGTCCCTGGTGAGTGAATACATGGGGAATGAATGGATGTGTCCCCGAGCTCATGGTCTTGGAGCTGTCCTCACGCCCAGCTGGCCCTGGGCACCCCACTTTCACAGGGGGCATAACTTCAAACATCAGAAATCCAGGGAGACAGCGGCCTGGCCTTCTCGCTGGCCTGGTGGCCTGGCGGGTCAGGAGGAGAGAGAACGCAGGTAGAGGGTTTAAGAAGACAGGCGTTATGCCAAACCCAGTTACACTGAGCCCAGAAGAGCCTATGGCGCCCATGGTGTCCCTCAGCCTGGACCGCGCCCTCCCTGACCGATCCAAACGCCCCGCAGACCCCAGTAAGAGCAGCAGCAGCATCGTCTCTGTAACACTGGCCAGGAAAACACTTCACCGTATGGACCTGTCTGGGCCCGTGGGACGACCCGGGGCAGTAAATCAAGACCCTCGTTCTTCATAGACCCCTGGGTGACTCGAAAGGTTTGCAACCGACTACTAACCAAAAGGCTGGTGATTCAAACCCACCCAGCAGTGCCACAGAAGAAAGGCCTGGCGATGTGCTTCCTTAGAGATT